CTTCAATGTCACTTTTAACGCCGTTTATCATCTATGCGTTACGGTCGATTAAGGCACCATTATCATTGCTTGGAAGATTTAATTCAATTAGTTGCTTAATTCTAAGCTTTTGTTTACTGCATCATTTCATTTTTGAGTGACCTAGATTTCACTTTTCTTCTAACTCAGTTATTTCAGTACCATGCACTTATTGCCTTCCTACTACAGTGCGTAACAAAAGTATGTGAACACCCCAAATTTTGATTTTGCGAAACTGCCTTTGGATATTGCGATCTGAGACCATCACTGTTAAATTCCTCATAAGCGAAAGTATAGGAATGCACTACCTACGAGCACATTGTGAACTACTGAGCAATGATTTATTGTTTTGAAAAAATTTCTTAATAACAAAAGTATGTGGACACTTAACAAAAAACAAAGTATCATGGAAATTAAAACTTGGTGCTCCCTCCCGCGTTCACTATTACTTCGAACATTCTGTCTGGCATGCTGTGGACAAGATTTGTGATAGTGTCTTCGTCGATTTCCTCCCATGCAGCCACTACCGCCTCCTTGAGGTCTCGCACGCTGTTGTACTGCCGATGTAAATTCGTCGAACCATAATTCCCCACAGGTTTTCGATTGGGTTGCAGTCAGGAGAACACGCCGGCCAATCCATCACTTTGATACCATTGCGTTGGAGCCATTTTATAGTAGAATTTGAAACATGCACGGCGGCGTTGTCCTGCAGCACATGTGTCCTGGGTCGTGGCCCACTCAGAAAAGGCAAGAGGTTGGATTCGAGCACTCCTTGATATTCCTGACTGTTCATACGGCACGATGGGAAGGCGAGCTCTAACTTTCCGCTGGTTCCACCCCACACCATCAAAGAGCCGCCTCCGAAATTTCGCCTCGAGAACAGCAATGGATCGCGACGAAGGTCTCTCCAGTAGTGCCGATATCCATCTGGACCGTCGAGATCGGACTTTTTTTCATCGGTGAAGATAACCTAAGAAAGAAAAGCGCATGGGATGTTGCCTTTCTGATTTTACAAATTTCTCAAAAACTTCACCTTGTCCCACGACGTCGCCATGTTTGCACGCGCGAAGTTCAGTCTCGCCAGCTGGTGTTGGGCAGTCAGGCGAGGAGCTTTCTTCATGGTCTCTCGTGTGATATGCTCATTTGATCGAATATAGCGCCATATCGTCATTTTTGAGACCGGTAGATTAATTGCAGCATGGATCTGAAGAGCG